TTCTGGGATGGTTGGCGGTTTCTTGTTTCAAGATCGCTGTTTTATATAGCGTCTTTTTGGAGGGAGAATGGGTGGGGGGTCGTTGATTCTGCTTCAACCTCTTTTGTTCTGCAAGGTTGAGCTAAGCGCCCCTGCTCAGAGAATCCAGCTGGTGGCAGCAAATGAATCACGCAGCCAAGGGGAAGCTGAACTCAACGTACTTGGAATTGCTACTGTGCAGCTTGCTGTATGACATGTACATGTACTTTTTTTGTTGCGTTGAGTAAAAACTGGGAATCAACATATGTGGTATATGCACCGCACACCATCAAAAGACACAGCTACTTACCCAACAACACATAGCAAGCTAAGGGCTGCATTTGCTCACTGGCATGACCGGTGCGAGAGCTTGGGGCAGTACTTGACACAAGATGAGGCTGACACTTTATTTGATGAAGGCATGACTGCCTTGAGATTCTACCTTGCCGCAGCAAATAAAGCTGCGTCAGTGGGCAAGTTTGCATTCTTGATGATCCCCAAAATGCACACCTACCATCACCTTCTTCTTGACGCAAAGAAAGAGTGCTACAATATGAGGTTCTTTCACTGTTTTGCTGGGGAAGACTTTGTAGGGTCTATTAAGGCCCTAGCTGTTGCCTGCGTTGGCACTGAAATGTCCCGAAACGTATTGCGACGGACACTGCTGAAGATCGTGACCCACAAACAGTGGGACAAGGAGCACCAATGAACTGTTGGAAAACGCGGTGAGCTGAAGTGCTCATGTGGTGATGGGTTGGGGTGAAGTTGGTGTTTTGAACATCTTGGGGGCATCCCTTGGAGGATCTTTGTCCATATACGTTCATTTTTGGAGGACACAGGTGGTTGGAACCAAAGGACCTTTGGAACCGCGGGGCTGGTTCTGGAACTGAAGCCTGGTTACCAGCTATAATGGTCACCGGGATGCCTTGGGTTTGGAGGGAGATCCTAGCAGGCAAGAGAGTTACGCAAGTTCTGTTGTAGCATGCTGTAGCTAGAATATGTTGAGCAAAACGTATGACTTTGATCAATATAAACATGTTCTGAATAGAGGAGCCCAGAGCTGTTGCTCCTCGAAGAAGTCGTCGAAGCCGCCAAAGTCTTTTTTCGATTCTGTCATTTGCTGTCGATGTTTTGCCCTGTCCTATATACTCATCGCTAGTAGGGTGGAGGCCATCGCTTCTAGGTACTATATACCACCATCCTGCCCCAGGTATTACTCCAAACGTGATGGTGAACGCTAGTAACACATCTTCAAGTATGCCAATGAACTCTTCACTCTTCAGTTCTGCAGGCCTCAGGTTTCACCTGGTTTCCCAATCCTTCCCGGACTGGCGAAAGCACACCAGCACGTTCGCACGTTGGCGTGTGGCAGTCTTCAGCGTCGATCCACGCGTCGGCATCACTTCCCCACCGTTCCCGTCGATCCACGCGAACTCGTCGATCGGCGCGAAGCGCCGCGCCCAAACGACGCTCGGTCTCCGGTAAGAGCGCCAGGGCGTGAGTGGACGAATAGCCAATGTCTTGGGTCAGGACCGAAACTGGGTGGACCGGACGCATGGGAACTCATCATGTTGCTAGCTGCACAGGTCTGCAGAAGTACTGCGCCACTGGGAGTTTCAGACACATAGCCCATGGTACCTAGAACGACCTATATAAAGCCTCGAATCTGAAGCAACAGGTTCCAAGCAAAAGGGGACAATGCCTGCCTGTCCGAGCTTGGTGTCAACCATTGTGTCCGAGCTAGGTGTCAGGATGACGATGGATGATATAGTTCAAGAAACAGACACCTGAAAGAGATAGGAATGTCATGAATTATCAAGGCAGAGCAACTTCCCCAGCTCCTAAGAAACAGCGGTTCCAAAGAACACAAGCCAGTCTGTTGGCTCATCAAAGGTACATAGACCATGATATGATGTACCATAGAACTATGGATACCGTGGTCTCCATCCGCACATGTCGGGAGGTCAATATTCAATATGCCTTTTTGGGTTGCTCAGTACAGAGGTTTCTTGGGGGGAGTCCCCTTGCAAACTCGATCATTGACCTCCCCTGCTTCACTCGACCTCCGCGCCGCTCCATCGACTGCCTTCGTACCTCGTGCCCAGTACTCGGGCTTTTTCTTCGGCATCCTGGGCACCATGGGCACCTGGTATGGCCGCAGAGATTGGGTCAGGAGCCCAGCGTGCCTGTCAGGTCGGATTCCGAACCGTCCAGAGGCCCACTGTAGACTCGTTGTTTCAATAAATATGTTGGATGTTTAGGAAGAACGGGTATTTTCAAGAGAAGACGCCATACTATTAGGAAGTCAAGTGTATGAGAGGTAAATATAGGGTCTCCACGTCTATAGTCACACTCTTCCATAGACTATCCATTTGTTTGACCCAGTTTCTTTTCTGAGGCAAACATATTGGACGACCAGAGGTGTGCGTTGTACAGATTGCGGATTGAGAACCCGCACCCATGTATCGTACAATTGAGTGACATCCAGGATTGTGGTACCACCATGCACCACCCACATCAAGCAGAATGGGCCTCCATAAGGCCCCCATGAGCTGGATCCATCCATGTTCCACTACCTGGAGCCATCGCTCCATAAGTCCCTCCACGGCTCAGTCCCGTCCTCTGGAGGTGAAGTCCTACAATACCTGGTTGTGGTTCCGACTCTTGTGCTATGCTGGGATGTTCAAGCCTCAGACGACCGGGAAACATACACACAGAGCCAAACAGTGTGAGACATGTGGTTTTGCTTGGCTTTTGATGGGATCCATTGATGTTGTTTGTGGAATTTGCTAGATTTTGCTAGAACTCATGCCAAAGAGTATTAATCGGAACATCATAACCAGAATTTCCGATCACACTTGGATTAAACATGATCAACATTGATCAACAGAAAGAACCAACAGGAGCTGTCAATATCTCAAGGTCTCTGACCGTTGGCTGCTGCCAGGTACTCCTTCGACTTGCCTCTCATCTTCCATTGCGAAGACTTCGCCGCTCGGTCATTCAGTCGGCTTCGGATGCCTCTGAGCCTGAGAGGCCACGCGTGACGGGCTACGGTTGTTTCTGCCGTGGCCGGGAGCTGCACGCCGATGTTTGGCCAATGAAGCATCCATCGTCGGGAGAATCGGAGGTCTGCATCGGGTGTTCGACGTGGTCGTTCGACGTTTCTTGCTCCACATGTTGAATTGAGTTGTTCCAAGACATATCAACACCATTCAACACTGCTCCCGGGCGCGGAATGCCATGTGAATACTGGCGTTTCATCCGCACCGAGCCGGGCCGGCACTGGTCATCCGACCTTGAGGTGAATAGTTTGCAGCCGACCACCGAGAAGTATGGCTGGGCACCAAGAAGTATGTTTAACCTGAGGAGATCCAGGTTCTACTAGGAACAGTAAAGGATATCAGGACCAACAAGGGTTACAGTTTCATGAAAACTCTTCGCGCAAGCGCATGTGTCAAAACCCAGACAAGTCTGGTTGACACCCTACAAACGAACAGAACGGACTAGCCTGGATGTGCGGCAGCTGTCATCACTATCAGGTTTTGACCTAGCTTTGCATGTCATGTGACCGTCATGGTGTTGGACGAGGCTACAACCCCTTGATGTACAACATCGCGATGAATAGCCAGCACCTTTGGCCGGATTGGCATTTGCACTGCAAGTTCCGAACACGTTCATCCGGGAAAGGTTGGATACAGTCCCTTTTTCAAGAATCATACGCCCAGGCCATCCATCTATATATAAAATACCAGCCCTTTAACGTCATCAAGTGGTTCTCTAAAATTGGAGTGTATGCCATAGTTTCTGAGTTTCTAAGTCAGGCCATCCTATTGACGCAGGTGGTGCAAGGCAGTGACAGAAGATGGCGTGATGGGGTGAGTGACCCCCCCCAAAGTCAGATTGGTTGAAGAGGAAACCAGGAAACCAAACACTCCATGGGACTGGTATATTATGTAATTATGTATATACATATATATATGCATATATATATACATATATAGATATATATATATATAGACATATTTGATAGACTGATAGACATGACAATTCCCAGACACTCCATGACCATTACCTACATTGGGGTGGTTTTGAAGGGTCAACGTAGGCATACATGGCAGACATGGAGTGTTTCACTCCGAAATACTGGGTTTCACTGTACATGTTCCCTTGAACAATTCCGGGACACACTGGCATTTCAGGCTTTGCATGGGACTCCAGTGATGGGTTGCGTGTGAACAAGCGAGACTTGCGTTGGCTTGGGTGCGACCCAAGACCCAAGACCCTTGAATTGGGTGTGTGTGATGTTTTGGTATGCTCCCCCAGTTCCAGACCAACAAGCTGATTCACCAACCAACCACACTCCGAAGTCAGCAGCTGAAGAATCTCAGGTGCTCCAGCACTCGAAGCAGCTTCTTAGTCCTCTCGATCCTCATGGTCTTCTTGCTCATGTGACGCCACGCGCGTCTGTTTCGGATGGACGTGGACGCCACCACGGACGCGGAAAACGAAGCCGTAGGGCTCAAAGGGCAGACGTGACTTGGCCCAAGTAAGCAAAAAGAGACAACGACTGACACGAGAGCCTTTGATACTCAAGCTTCAAAGAACACGAGTCGATTTGACAAGTCCTTTTGCGAAAGGCTCTTCGTCCAAGGCATGCAAGCTATGAAACCTTCGAAGAGCACGCGGACCGTCGGTCCGAGAAACACCCCAACAGAAAGGCTTCTCGCGCCAAAGCATCGCTTTTGTCTTTTGAATCGCGAACTGGCAAATCTCATGAACGCGATGCGGGAAGCGACAGATGCCGTACATGGCATGTACATGCACCCTGATATACCCTGATGCAGTTGTTCCTAGTAGCTTCTTGTTCCTAGTAGTAAAGCCAGGAGCTACTAGTAGTTACTAGTAGCGTCCTTGCTTCTAGTAGCGATGCCAGGAGCCCCTAGTAGTGAACCTTGTTCTTAGTAGCCTCAAAAGGGATTCATTTTTTGGACTTCCACCGACACTTGAGCGGATCGCGGCTGCCATGAGCCGTCCCGACACCATGAGGACGCCCCTGGAGGACAGCCGCTGATCAGAAAGAAGCATGAACAATAGAGCAACGTCATAAACCTCTATGGAAGAATTTAGGCAGGACTTAAGATTATGAATCTGTGCGAAAGGACAACTGCAGTTGGGGAAAGCTTGGCGAAAGGTTTGGAGAAAGGCTCTGATTTTTTGATGAATGGATTTTGTTGCGAAAGGGTTGGCGAAGAGGTTTTCAGTACAAAGCATGTCATCCAAAGATTCATGATAACCAGGCGAAAGGTTGGCGAAAGGTTCGCGAAGATGTGGCGAAAGCAGTGGTTGCAGATTAGGAATGATTCCCCTTTGCTGATACTTTTCTTAGATGTAAGTAGCAGAAACTCGGCGAAAGGGTTAGCTAAAGAGGTTGTCGGGTGAAGTGGGTCGGCGAAAGCAAAACATGCAGCCGCGAAAGCGTTGCGAAGGGACTGGCGAAAGGTTGTTATAATCTTAATAAAAGTTCCGGATGGTTTTTGACACCGCTCAATAGTTTATATAAATATTGTGTGCCCTTTGCTCCTAGTACTGTAGCGTTCTTGCTCCTAGTAGTAGTTCCTAGTTTACATATATCATATATAGGTTATTAATATGCTATGCTATGTAATGTAATGTACTGTAATGCTATGTAATGTAATGTATTGCTATGCTATGTAATGTAATGTAATGCTATGCTATGCTATGTAATGTAATGTAATGTAATGCTATGTTATACTATGTATATAATGCAATGTAATGTAGTGCTATGCTATGTAATGTAATGCTATGCTATGTTATGTAGTAATGTAATGCTATTCTATGCCATGTAATGTAGTGCCATGCTATGTTATTGTATGTTGTGTTATGTTATGTTATGGTATGTTATGGTATGTATCGGTATGTTATGATATGTAATGGTATGTAATGGTATGCAATGGTATGTAATGGTATGTAATGATATGCATGTATGCATAAATGAATGTATGTACTACATGAATGTAATGTATGTACTATATATATATATACATTCATGCATGCATACATACATATCATTACATACCATTGCATACCATTACATATCATAACATATCATAACATACCATTACATACCATAACATACCATACCATAACATAACATAACACAACATACAATAACATAGCATAGCATTACATTACATTACATTACATAGCATAATAGCATTACATTACATCACATAGCCTTACATTACATTACATACATATTCTACTATCGCAACTGTTTGCATTTGCGTGCATTTGGACGCCGGCAGTCCAAGTGTTCCAAGTGTTCCCTCGCCAAGCGGTCCGAATCCGAATCGACGACGACGAGAAACCCCAAAGAGCCCTGGCCGATTGGCAGTGCGTTCTTGTGAAGTGATTGCAGAGTGGGCGGAGGTTCTGTGGGGCCACTCTTTGTGTGGAATGACAACACGTTCTGTGGAGCAAACTAGTGAAGGAACCGTGAAAACGGAAGGCCACTTGTAAAGCACAAATTCGGTCACTCTAGGCATAGGGGTCATTTCCATCAGATCTGCCGAATTTGAGCGACGTCGCCTAAAAAATTGACCTTATTTTCTGAATTAATAGGTTGGTCATTCCTTTTCATTTTGTAAAATACTTCCACGCCAAGCACTTGCAAACCAGGCCTTGCGCTTGTTCATTTCACGCTGGTTTGCAAGACGCTGGGCTCTCGTGCCTGGTGACGTGGGAGGAATCGATCCCAGGGACTTCTTGAGAAACGAGGCGGTGGTGACCTCTCGCACCCTTCAGCGAGAATCATACCAGATCGTGCGGCAAGAGCAAAACCAAGCAAAACCACAGGTGAGCTGGACAAGTGGCCAAAATAAAACAAGGGTGCCTGCTCAAGATGCCAAACTTCACCTTTTGGTGCGGTCAACTTGACTCTTGCACCTTACTTAAAAACTCCTGCCAAAGCCCTCGGGGGAATCGAGCCCAGGGACGTTTCTCAAGACATCAGTTTTTATCTTTTCGCACCATGAAAGGCTCAAATTGGGCTCCATGGGAGAAAGCCTGGCTCCTTGAAAACGACATGTCCCGCCTCGCAAACCAGGCCATGAATCTGTTGCCAGGAGGGAAGTGAGCAAGGCGCCAGAGTGAAAAGATAGGGAACTGTACTTTGTATTTGCGATGGTTTATCGCAACACTTTGGAAAGTTCGTGTGAAGTGAGGTCACGCCATACCTGACTTGTAATATCTCACAATATAATTTCTAGGTTGTTAGGTCGGTTTTTTCTTCTCCCTGCGACGTCACAATAATTTTGTTATGTCACGTGACCTAAGTCTTATTTCAATGTTGAAATAAAAATTCGACCTAACGACCTACGAAATACTACAGTTCAGCCGGATCAGATGGCTGTTAGTGTTCCAGTGCTCCACCAAGTGCCTTTGAATTTGGGGCTCAGTATGGCTCAGTGCTGGGCGATCTGCTGGGTCTTGTGGTTTCCACAGCAGCATTTGGTAGGAGCCCATGCCAAACCTGGGGGTTCCACCATTGCTTTTGAAGGTGGGTCTGACAGGGCTGGCTAAGTTGGAACAGGGCTGAGGTCGAATTTTCATATCGTTGCAGTGGTGATCGACCGTGAGGTCTTTTGAAGTGACTTCAATATCTTCAATGGTTAGAAGGATGTCCAGTTGACAGACTTAACAGTTGCTCTCAATCGAAACGCAAGCAGTGATATGATGTCCACTTGCAGCTGTAGGTTGCTGGTTTCTGTCCATTGCGATTGCGTCGGTTGCTGGATCCCGGTCAGGCAACGCTGGTGAGCCTTTGTATGCTTGGTTTCTGGGCCTCGGTGAGGCTTATGGATACTTGGGCTGAGAAGAACGCTACTAGTAACAAAGGGCATTTCTACTGGGAGCAAGAACGCTACTAGTAGCTCCTGGCTTTATTACTAGGAACAAAAAACTACTAGGAGCAAACGGCATTTCTACTGGGAGCAAGGTCTCCACCAGTAGTTCCTGGCTTTACTACTAGGAACAAAAAGCTAGTAGGAGCAAAGGGCATCGCTACTAGGCTTATGGATGTTTGGGCTCAGAAGGAGGCTCCCACGGCCGGTGAAGAAGGGGAGAGCCTGGCTGGGGGAGGAGGTTCCTAGTGAGCATAGAGAGCATAGCAGGCTGGGGCTTGGTGAGCAGGTGAACAACAAACATTTCGTAAGAAGAGGACCCTAGATGACTCAGATGACCATAGAATATGTAAGCTGAAGTACACTTGGAAAGAAAACAAAACATGGTTCTTTGTCCAAAACAGTTTCTTCCTACACCACAGAAAGAGAAGTTGCTGCCTGCACGGAAGACGCTTGCGAATCGAGGAAGAGTTCGCCGTCGTTTTGAAGCCATTGATTCTGGCTTTGATGCTGGCGGGATGCCTTGAGAAGGCGGTGGAGCTTTGTATCGAGGCAGCAAGCTTTGGACGAGGCCTCAGGACCCCCCGTGACACGGGGGGGCCGAACGGACGGTGCACGGGAAACTGGGAGTTTTAACGTGTACCAAGTCTGTACCACTGGAAACTCAATGATATGATTCCAGCACAGCAAGGTAGGAGGAGATTTGAGCGAATTGGAAGGCTTCTCACTGGTAGTAGGACACCTACTCTTGGTGTACCAGTTTGGTACACGGAAGTGTCCAACGCTTGAAGGGTTCCATTTCGTTCGCCCTCCAGAAGCCGATCCCAGCCCCGCCCATGTGACAGCCCGAAGCAGCCAGGAGATCTGCTAGATCAGGTGGTGCACCATTTGGTCTTAGAAAACCCTGGAACTGGGAAAACCAAAACCCAGGCTGGGTGGCTGGGTAGATTTGGGTAGCATGCCTTTGCTTGGGACTAAGGTGAATTTGGGATCGCCAGGCGCTGGGGTTCACGGTGGAGAGTGTTGGAGATAAAAACATCTTACTTGAAAGAGATTGTGTTTCTAGTTTTGAGTTGGTTGGAACTAGCTGGTGTACTTATGTTTTGCCATTCCTCAGTTTCAATCAGCCTGGTATACATGATGTGCATGTGACGGAGCGTTTCGCAAGGGAAATCTTGGGCGAAGCAGAAAGTTTGTTATTTGTGTTAAGCAGAACAGATACTACTGTAGTAGGTTGGAGGCCATTGCTAGTAGGATGGAGGCCATCGCTCTTAGGGTGGAGGCCATTGCCATTAGGTTGGAGGCCATCACTAGTAGGTTGGAGGCCATCGCATGAACATCCCTCAGCTCTTTGACTCCTACTGGGTCAGAGACCCGGAGCCAGAGACCTACCCCAAAATGAACAAAACAACAAATAGTTAAACTATTATGCTTGCATAGAAGGAAATACACATGACCATCTCAGAGTATGGAATCTAGGAGACCTATATGTGATATTCATATGATCCTTTTGCACTTAAACTTTGTTAATGAGATGACAAACTGCTCCAACTGGCCATGACGTTTGCCTTTTCAAGGACCCTCAACTTGGCCAAGTGCCTCTTGATGTGTCGTTGCAACCTGCAGCCCTTGAAGCTGCTGTGGCCACTCGGAAGCAACGTGCTGACACAAGAAGGAATCGACGCAACAGACATTCCCGAAGGTTTGGGTGGTTTCAGTACCTAAGGCATGTTTTGGCCAACATTGCTGAACTACGTGAAATACGCAAAAAAGCAGGTGTGGAGCCACATCGCTGTGGGTCAAAGCTTGAAGCCCCGATCCCTGGTACTGGTTGACCTTTCTAGTAGTCTATTCTGTTCATGTTCAGTGGTCAGGATCCCCGGTTTTGACCCACACCTTCGACATTGAAAGCATGTGTTCCGATTTCTTGGATTGCTTATATGTGCTTCGTTCTCAGGCAACAGCCGCAGGATGGCGCTTACATTGCCCTGGAGCAGAGTTACATCCCTGAGGAGCGGTCTGGTGTTATGTTGAGATGTACTTCGACTCACAGCACTGGTCTCATCATTGACAGCAGTTCGACCCTCCTCCTGAGGAGGTACTTGGAGCCCTAGTGCCTAGGGCAGGGTGTGCAGGTCAACCCACACGTTCTCACACCCCACAGTGGAACCAGCCACTGTTTTGGACCGACAGACAGACCGACAGACCGACAGACTGACTGACGACCAGGTCCCACACGAAAATCACCACGGCGAACGGTTGCATGCGGAATGTGTCGTACCGGGTTCTGGAGAGCTGAATTAGGAGTACCTTCGCCGTTCCGAACTGGCTGGAAGGTCAATGCTGTGGATGGCTTTCCAGCATGGAATTCAGTTCGCTAAACCTGGCTCACTCAACTTGATGTGTTTCCAATCAAGCAGCAGTTTTGCTGGGTTATTGAGCTTACTTAGAGTGCTTTCAGAGGTTCGATGGCAAGTGTCCCCCAAGATGTCCTAGACAGATGGGGTTTCTAAAACAAACCACCGACATTGGGGGCCCTTGTGCGATCCTTTGAAAGCACAGCTTAACATTGCCCTATGGATCCACATACCCGCTGAGAAGGTGATTGGAGACACTTTTACCTTTTCTTGGAGGGTCCAGTTGTACCCTCTAAGAAGGTATGTGGATCCCTAGGCATTGTATATAACTACTCTTTCATCAGCTTGCCCCAGTCCCATGAGTGTCCAAACCGACGCACTTGTCCGAGTGTTTTTGCACAAGTACGCTGACGACGTTGTACGAACTTGGCGTACCAGCGAAGCACATCAAACAGATTGCTGCCCAGCTGAGGAGGTTCTACTTGAGTGGAAGGAGTCAGAGGGTGCCGGGAAGAATTGCTTTGCCCGCGTGTGCCCTTGGCAATGTTTGAAGGTAGTTGCAATACAACGTTTCACTGGTTGACAGCAATAGTCATCGATCCAGTCAAAACACTATCATTTGAAGTGGGTGTACGATCATCTCGTCAGTATGCTTTCATCATGTTTCGGAGACAATTGGATCCTTACATCTTCCGCCGGTGCTGTTTTTGGAGGCTTTCGAACTCTAGCTAGGTCCGGCACCGGTGCCTCAAACACTCGCACGGCTTCGGGACAATGACCTGTGCTTTGGATGTACACGTCCAGATCCAGGGAGCGGTTTCCTTTTGTGTCTTGGAGCTGTGACTCCGAAATCCCAGACATCTCCGAAATCCCCAAAACACAGCGCGTGTGAGACACTGCCGACGAGCACCAGAACTCTGTCAGGTTAGCTCTGGCCTTTGTTCTTTCCACCGCTGGGATGGGCATCTTGATGATCTTGGGCTCCATCATCACCTCCTTAGAGCATGCAACTAGACACGTGGAGTACTCTTGATGGGTTTGGAGGTGGGGAAGCTGCGCGTGGTGCTGGCACAGTGGTGCTGGCAATGTGAAGGGCAGCATATTGTTGTTTGTTTGTTGCTGTTGATAGGGCCGGCGCCATATGATGATGGTGCTGATTGTTACTGGTTTCTTCCCAGATTTGAGATGGATAGATAGATAGATAGGTAGATAGAATATAGTCGACTGATACAAGCTCCCATCGAGGCGTTTTCTTTTGCAGCTGCCTGTAACCACTCGCCACTACTTGTGACCGGAAACAACCTCACAGAATAAACAGGGCCTGTACTACTAGGCTAGGCCGCTGACAGTGTGATATCAGGGTAGGACACCCTAGCCGGAATGTGCCAGTGAGGTAGAAAGCCTTTGAATGGATTCCTAGGAGCAAGGACGCTACTAGTAGCTCCTGGCCATACTACTAGTAACAAGAAGCTACTAGGAACAAAGGGCATCACTACTAGGAGCAAGGACGCAAGTAGGGAAAACCAAGCCTCTTCGCCTTGGCACTTTGCAGCAGCCTTCCTACTTGTCATAGGCAACCACCTCTTGACTCCTGACGCCTCTTCATCCTCTTCTAATGCCTCCGGTGTCCCAACCGAAGGTGCGTTCGCTGGCAGCGACACACGTTCAGCATACTGAGGTGAACATGAAAACTTATCAACAAGGCTTCAATCAGCTGGAGAGCAATGTGCCTTGATGAAAGTACTTCCCTTCCTTTGGCGGTCTTTGTTTGCCAACGCTTTCAGCAGGGTGAAGCTGCAAGTACCGCAAACAAGCACTACCATTGCTTTGTAGGGACAGGTGATTGCAATGTTTCTCCAACAGACAAGTGCAGAAATGCTAAAGTTGTCAGTACTTTGAAGCACTCTTGAAGGAAATACCCCAAGGAGAAAAGGTAAGCAACTGAAGCCAAAGGAGCTGAAGTGAAGGGATATGAAGGCTCTAGATGTAATACGTGGTTTTATTATGATTGCCACAGAGCAACAGGCATGGGAGTATGACCCTGCTTGCAGGAGATTGACCTGTGATTGTTTGAAACAAGGGTGACATTCTGTCCACTCGATCTCGTGCACGACCACTCAGACCATTGACATCGAAAAATATGCTCAAACACATTCAATCACTTTTATACTCTATATATATATTGTATAGATTCAATTGTGTTAGCCATAAATTTGTTTAATTGTCTTTTGTTTCGATGCCTGTGAGGGGGGATCCAAGAAACCCCAGCCTAGGTCTTGGGCTTGTTGCAGAATGTCAATCCCAAGCTCAAGGTGCACACGGCGTAAATTCTTTATCATTTGCAGAGCAAGAGAAGAACCTTCAGAGCTCTTGGAACCAAGTCTTTCTAGAGTCCCGTTCCCATGTTGTCCTTTTTTTGGGTTGCCAACACCATCAAGTGCTGTCCTTCAGATGCACTTCTAGCCCACCTGATGCCCAGGTCGTCCAGTTTCGACTGACGGTTTCAGGGGGTCGGACCTTCTCCACCGAAAACGCTCGGGGGTTCCGGGCCCTCAAGACCCGATGTTTGAGGGCGGATTCGTTGGGTAGAAGCTATGTTTCTCCATTTGCAGAGAATTGCTTGGACGTGAGGAGATTGAAAAGGTCCATTTCTGGTATGGTTTTTTGTTTGCTTCTGCGGACCTCACATGTTTGGTTTTTGTTTGCTTCTGCAGACCTTACATGTTTGGTTTTT